TGCATGAAGGTGTGGGGGACTCTGGGGGGTGTCAGGCTTTGGGGCGTGTGGGGCCAAATCTCAAGGGACCCATGTGCCCGTGTGGGTGATGCCCAATCTCTGTGCCATGTATGGGACATGGGACACGTGTGTGTGCTGCTGTGGACTCCATGGAGGGGGCTTCTGGGGGGGCAGGATCCTGTAGGCACTGGGGGAGTGGGTGTGGATGCCATGGGGCAGTGCACAAGCCTGAGGAGGGGTCTGGCTGTAGTTAACAGGGATCAGCGTTGGGGTGAGCGGAGCTGGGTGCCTGAGTGCCATGCCTGAGGGGCTGTGGGGAGGGCCATCGTGCCCATCAGTGCAGGATGGAGGGTGTGCAGGGTACCTGGCACACTCCCAGCCAGCTGTAGCCCCTGGTCCTGGGGGCCTGTCCCCAAATCTGTAGCCTTTGGCCAAAGCCAGGGCAGGGATCGGGCTGAGCAAACCAGCGGTGGCCACTGGGCCAGGGGATGGCCTGGCTGTGCCAACCAGGGGATGCCAGGGATGATGCAGCATCTAGAGTGATTTGTGCCAGGCACAGTGATCCCCATGGATGCGGCTGGGTGCTGTCAGGAACAGGGCAGGGCTCCCTGAGGACACCCCTTGCCTTGTCCCAGTTTGCCCTTTGCCTCAGCTGTGGCTCCTGGTAGCACCTGCCCATGTCTCCCTATCGCCTGGATCTTGGGAACAGGAGTTGCTGTTCCCACTGTGTGACAGGATGTGTCACCTCCCCACCCTGCCCTGAGTGGGGACCTTGCACGTGCCCACTGGGGCTGGGCTCACCAGGATGGAATTTGACCCCAGTGCCACCAGATTCATGACCCTGGACTTTGAGAGGGCTGTGGGCAGGGTGGGCTCCTCCCGGGCTCCCTGTGTGCTGCCAGACCTCTGCGCTGACCCCCACGCCCCCCACTTTCTCTGGTGGGGGGGCAGCCTGTCAGCTGTGCCCCTTGCTGGTAGGGGGTCATCTGGGACTCCCCAACAGCAGTTTGCACCCTGTCACTCGAGAGCAAACGGGGTGACACTGAGCCCGTGTCTGGGCTCGACTGATGGTGACACCCACTGTGCCCTGCATCACGGTGGGGATGTGGCCACAGGCTGTGACCACCCTCTCTGTGCTCCTATTGCAGAGCCAGGCAAGTGCTAGGGGGGCACCCTGAGGGTCCTAGCCTGCAGCTCACACCGACGGTGTGACCCCCCTCCGCTGGCTCTGCTCCTGCTTGCAGCGGTGCTGGGTGTTGGTGCTCCTGCCAGGCCGGGGGGTGGGCAGGTGGAAAGATCATGCCAGGGGCTGCCGCCGCCCTGAGCTCCGTGGCCATTTAATCCTTCACCCATTAACTTGGACTAATAAACCTTGTGGGAGCAAGAGGCTAAAAGCCGCACCCGTGCCAGTGTTGCCTCCACCAGCTCTGCTCCCGCTGCCCACCATGGCAGCCGGCTTCTTCATCAGCAAGAGTGTGGGCATTGTGGCCATCGTGCTGGGCCTGGGGGCCGTGGCCACCATCATCGCGCTCTCGGTGGTGTATGCCCAGGAGAAGAACAAGGGGACGTCGCATCCAGACACCACCAGCACGGCCGGCCCTGGCACCACCACCACCACTGCTGCCCCCAACAACCCCTGGAACCGGTGGAGGCTGCCAGCCACGCTGAAGCCAGAGATCTACGAGGTGTCCCTGCAGCCCTTCCTGACGCCCGATGCCAACAACATGTACATCTTCAAGGGCAACAGCAGTGTGGTCTTTGTCTGTGTGGAAGCCACCAACCTCATCCTCATCCACAGCAACAAGCTGAACTACACCATGCAGGGCTCCTTCCACGCCACGCTGCAGGCGGAGGGCGGCGGCACAGCCCCCTCCATCTCCCGCACCTGGTTGGAGACCCTCACCCAGTACCTGGTGGTGGAGCTCACTGCTCCCCTGCAGCAGGGCCAGAGGTACCGGCTGTCCAGCAGCTTCACTGGGGAGCTGGCCGACGACCTGGCTGGCTTCTACCGCAGCGAGTACACTGACGAGTCGGGCACCAAGTAGGTGGAGGGCAGGGGACAGCGTGAAGGGCACAGGGCTGGCCCGGGGTGGCAGTGGGAAGGGGAATGGGGGGCACAGGGTGGGGGGACACAGGGTGGGAGGGCACGGGCTGGCTTTGGGGCTCCTCTCATCCCCATGCTGCCCCAGCAGGGATGGGAGCAGGGGAACTGGGGG